CCCACCTTCTTCTCCTCCTCCTTCTTCTCCTCTTCCTTCTCCTCCTTCTTCTCCTCCTCCTCTCCTCCTTCTTCTTCTCCTCCTCCTCCTTCTTCTCCTCCTCCTCCTTTTCCATCTTCTCCTCCTCCTCCACCTTCTTCTCCTCCTCCTCCTCCTCCTTCTTCTTCTCCTCCTCCTCCTTCTTCTCCTCCTCCTCCTTTTCCATCTTCTCCTCCTCCTCCTCCTTCTTCTCCTCCTCCTCCTCCTTCTTCTCCTCCTCCTCCTTTTCCACCTTCTTCTCCTCCTCCTCCTTTTCCACCTTCCTCTCCTCCTCCTTTCCCACCTTCTTCTCCTCCTCCTTCTTCTCCTCCTCCTTTTCCACCTTCTTCTCCTCCTCCTTCTTCTTCTCCTCCTCGTTGTCATTATGATCCATGACCTGATGGGACAGTTAATGCTGACAAAAGACTCCACCTCTCTCTTTTATTCTTCTATCTCTTAGAATCGCTCGCTCGCTCTCTCTCTTTCTCTCTCTCTCTCTCACACACACACACACACACACACACACACACACACACACGCACACACACACACACACACACACACACACACAACACACACACACACACACACACACAGTATTGAAAGTACATACGTCTTGTTTTTAGAAGATGTCTTTGCGACACAAAGCCTGCACACTGTATTAATCAGCCCCTGAATGTGTCCGATCTGATAGATACAAATAAATCATGCTTTTATGGATCACTTCTCTATTATTATAAATATCTTCATCAGCAGGTAGTTTTATTGATCACTTCTCTTTATTATTAATATAATAGTTTTATTGATCAGCAGGATGAAGAGGAGGATGAGGAGCTCTGATTCTGCTCTCACTGTAGGTCTCAGGTCTCAGGACAGATTGAGTCCGTTTCAGGTTATGAACACAGATTGTGCAGGTGAGGGGAACAGACTCTGGAGTGTGAAGTGTTCAGACTCTGTGTGTGGTACGAGTTCATCATCTACTCGTGCTTCAGCAGTTTTATCGCTGCAGGAAAACAGTCAAAAATCTGTGAACTCACGGCCTGAGTTCTCTTGAATGTCTCTCCACAGACAGATTTCTGTGTGAGTTCAGAAATGAATGATTAGCACATAAAGTTTCAGCTCTGATATTCGTCACTTGGAAACAGAATGACTGGTGACATTCCTGGCCCCTACTTGTGGAGTGATATAATTATTATTATTGATAATCTGGAAGCTTTTTCTTCACTGAAACGTTGTTGAATTGACTCCAACTTTAATAAGAGGTCTATAATGCAAAAGAATTAAACCATCTTAAAAACAGTCTGTGGATAAAACGTGATGGAGTGAATGTGTTTGCAGGATCAGTGAGGTGAGTTTATCAGCCTCTGTGAGGACACTGTGTGTGTGTCAGACAGCAAAGATGTGTCATATTAAAAACTAAGAACAAGGCCGTAGTTAATTTGATAATATTCTCTCTTTAAAAGATAAAAAAAAAGTTATTAATTTAAACTTATGTATTATATCATTTTAATAGTTAAATCTTTAAAAGCAGTGGAACATCAAACTGAATCTGTTCATTCAGAAATGCAAATCTTTTCTATCGATTCAAGTCAGCAAATTGATTAAATTATCATTGATACATAAAAATAAAAGCATTAATCATTTAATTTATGTGACCTGCTTGTTAGTTAGTGAGTCAAAGTCACCTTTAACATGATTCATTTATTTTAAAAATGGAGAGTTAAAAAATAAGCCATCAGAAATAATTAAATGGTTTAGAGGAAAAAAAGATTTCAATGTAAACTTTAAACAGGATGTGGCTAATAACTGGAAAACTGAGGAACAAAACAAAACAAGACACTGTATGATTAAGTCTGTTTATCACTGTGGGCCTAGTTCACAAAGTATGTTCTTCCACCCGCTAAACCTTATTTAATAATTTATCAAAACACACACAAAGGGTTAAATGTTCCCCTAGCTGCGCTGCAGAAGCGTCTCTGTGCGTCAGTGTTGTTTGTATGTATTTGAATTAACCATTATGCAGTCTATTGTGTCAACGTGTAATTTACATAGACCGGTGCTATCAGCCACACTCAGTTACAGTGAAAAAAGTCTGCTGAGAGTTGGTGGTAACTGCGCCGCAGTAATGTAAAGAGATGTCAGGCTTAAACTGTCCAGTGATCAGGACAACCATTCCACCTCTGGATGACCTAAAACAAACATTTTCTGCATATAGAGTCTGTAAATATTACTCTGACATTACTATTATTTACATATATATGAATCAGTCTATCAGCGCCTCCACACTTCTTAGTGCTCTCACAGGCTCATTACAGGGAGGAAGCTTTGTTGAAATGTGTATCACATCTGTAAAAACCCAACTTCAAAAACACTGGAAAAAGTTACCCCTCCATCCAGGTCATCACCTATGTGGACAGATTTGAGCTCCATCAGGATGAGAGCGCACAGCGCAGCAGAGAGAGAGGAGGTACTGATGGCTCAACTCCACAATCAGAAAGTAATCAAGCACAAACTGCACAGAGCAGAACTTTTTTAACAGAGTGCGTGCGCTTGAATATCAGACGTGTAAAATACTTTGTGAATTAGACCTTGAGGTGGAGCAGATAGCAGGAGCAATTGGTGTACATAATTCATGGAGTTATTAGTGACCCCCTCTCAGTCTCTCTGGGTCTGTGTGCAGCTGTATAACATAAAACCATTATTTATTATTTGTATGTTTAAAGGGTTTTAGCTAAGTTTGAAATTTAATTTAAAATCTGAGCTGGAAGAGTCCAAACAGTCGACGTCTCCTCATTCATGTAATGATCAATAATCATCACTCTGAGCTTCTTTTAAAGTTAAACATCGTGGTTTTTTTTACCCTCTGGTTATTCTGTCTTCATCCTCCTCCCCCTCCTCATCCTTTGTTTCTCTTCAGCAGCAGTTTTTTTTGTGTCTGCTGTAGACGGACAATCAATCTTTACTTTAATAGTGTCTCATCTGTCCACTTGCCATCTCGGTGAATGAAGCCTTAATTACTGCCTTTAATTGATGACTTTTTACCTCGTAAGACCGTTCTTCACCACCTCCTCCTCCTCCCCTTCTCCTCCTCTGCTGCTGTTTGCACTATATTTCTGCACTTATTGATCTCTATTATGGTAAATCCAATGAGCACAATAGACCTCTATCAGCAAAATACAGGTTAATTATCTCAGGGTCACAGTGTGTGTGTTCACAAAGAGAGAAGAGGTGTTAATCTGCTCATCACAGAGGAGGTGCTAATCACATGGCAAGTTACAGAAAATTGAAACTAGTTACAGTTGCTATAGTTACTACTACTAAACATCACTGACTTACTGAGTTACTGCATTATTAAAGAAACTAGTTATTTGGTAAAGTACATTTAGTGTTACCTTTTGTTTTGCTTCAACACTCATATTTATGTTTACATTATTTAGTGTTGCTATGGCACTGTGAGAGGAAAAAACTCATTCATATAACAGTGTCAATCTGATTAGTTCTCTAAAGTCAACAGACCCAACAGTTGATATGACGCATGTTGTCTACAACATACCTGTCACTCAGTCCTGTCTAGTCCTGGCTGACAGATCGTGGTGCTGGCTGTGATTTAGAAGCAGGCCTTGTCTGATTGGATGGTGTGGCTCCTCCTTGTTCTGCTGAGCTAACGTGGGCCAGTGTAGCACCAAGATTGAAAAGCAGCATGTGGCATTCTGCTTTGGGAGCACCAGCATACCGCTGTTATTCATGGCAGGCCAGTTTGACAGCGACATGTGCCATTTGGCTCTCACTCCAGAATCTACCATTACCATGATTCAAATGTAAATGAATACCAGTGGACTTGCTTTACATTTACTGCCTTAAATGTTAACCTTTTTGTCTTTATTGACAAAGCGAGTGCAACATGTTATTAAATGAATATCTACGTTTCTCTTGTCTGTCTCTCATGTAGGCTATACTGAACGTTTTATGGTTTGGTATCTCCGTGATGACAGTAGAGTAGTTTCATATACACATCGTTGACGGTGATAAGAGTAAGATTGCAGCAGAGCTGATCCCAACTAACAAGGTTAGCTTATCCACCGTAGCCAGTCAAAATTCCAGAAGCGCCATGTGCCATACTGATCGACATGCTGCAATGGTGCCATGTCAGGAATCCAAGCGCACAAGTCGCTGTCAAACTGGTGTGTCACCAAAAACAGCTGCATGCTGGTGCTCCCAATAAGGCATGTCACGCTTAGCTCGGGTCTTCCTGAGATTAGAATAACTATTCTTGATGACGGCACGTTTTTCTTCCAGCACATATAGACTAGAACTAAACTACAGTAAACAGCCTGTTTGTGTTTACTGTGCGTTCTATCCTTTTCCTCAGGGTGCCACTGAGCTGACCGTAGTGTAACCTCGCCAACTGCTCGATTTCAATGAACCTGATTCTCATGTTGTTGTCTGCTTCACGTTAAGTGACAAGTAACAAGTATTTTTTTTATGGTTTAGTTTTGGGAAATCTATGCCTTTATTTATATTTACATCCTGCGAGGACCACAGCCTCTGCACATGGGGTCTACTAACCACTAGGCAACCGGCGCCCCCATAACGAGTGCTTTAAAATGTCTGTAATTGTTACGGCCTTGAAAAGTATATAGATCAACTACTATTTACCGCAAATACTATAGGATCACTGTCACGTGTTACTCCTAACACTGCTCATCAGAGACGAGGTGTTACTGTGCAGAGGCAGAGCTGCAGAGTTTCAAACACAAATCTGTCTCTTTAACTTTCTTTAATCCTAATTTTCTAAAATGAGTTTCTTGTATTGTAAAGTTTAAAGACTTTAGATATAAACCTGTAAAGCTTCTGTGTGTGTGTCTCAGTGTCAGTGTGACTGGTGCAGATAAACCCTCTTTATAAGAATCTGTAGAGGTGTATTGATGGGCGGAGCCTCAGGTAATGATATTGATTGTAGATATGGTCCTCTCTCTCTTCAGGGACTCCGGTGAACAGGATTCCTATCATGGCCAAACAGGTGCTGGATCTGTACTCTCTGTACAGACTGGTGACTGAGAAAGGAGGATTAGTGGAAGTCATCAACAAGAAGATATGGAGAGAGATCACCAAAGGACTACACCTCCCTACATCCATCACCAGCGCTGCTTTCACACTCAGAACACAGTGAGGACACACACCCAGCGACACGCACTACACACATACACATACACACAAACAAAACACACCCTAAACACACACACACACACACACACACACACACACACACACACACACACACACACACACACACATACACACACACACACACACACACACACCATGAGAGAGACAAAGAGAGACACAGACACACTAACGCACGCACATAACACAACATACACAGCGACACACACTAGATACACACAGAGACCCCCCCCCCCCACGCACACACACACACACACACACACACACACACACACACACACACACACACACACACACACACCATGAGAGAGAAAAACAGAGACAGAGAGAAAAGAGAGAGAGAAACACACACACGCAAGCATGCAAACACAGACACAGCAACACACACTAGACAAACACAGAGACCCCCCAACACATACACACACACCATGAGAGAGACAAACAGAGACACACACACACACACACACACACACACACACACACACACACACACACAAACAAACACACACTCCACGAGAGAGACAAACAGAGACACAGAGACAAGAGAGAGAGAGAGAGAGAGAGAGACACATACACACACACACTAAGCTGTGATTAAAATATGATGTTTATTTTCTATCAGAGGATAATCACAGGGGTGCAGTGTAGAGTCATCGTCTGTGTGTGCGTGCGTGTGTGTGTGTAATTACAGTGTCTCTGCTCAGTGTTCAGTTGAGACTCAGTGCTGTCACTCTCTCATATTTAAACAGCATGACAGTATGATAAACTTCATTCAGTTTCTACTGAACAGAGGAAGAGCAGAGCCACATGTAAGAATCTCTCCACACTGTCCCTGACTCCCTCAGATAAAAACATGTAAACCTGGTCTTTTTAGGTAATGTCAGAGCTTGGTTGAAAAAAGTAAAAACACTGATGTGAAATACATCCTAAAATATACTCAAAAATGTGAAATAATTTAGAAAATTTTCATTTTGGTTCTTAAAGAAAAGAAAATGAATTGTGGTTAAAAAGCTTTCTCCAGGAGAAAGTAAGAAATTATGTTTAAAGTGACGTCCTGCAGAGTAACATACATCTGGCCCCCTCTCGCTCTCTCTCTCTCTCTCTCTCAGGTATATGAAGTACCTGTACCCATACGAGTGTGAGAAGCGGGGGCTGTCCTCGCCAGGTGAGCTTCAGGCAGCGATCGACAGTAATCGCCGTGAGGGCCGCAGGCAGAGCTACGGGTCGGCCATCTTTAATTACTCTCCTGTGGGCACCCCCACCCTGCTGAACCCTCAAAAGATACACCTGTCCCACCTGTCCATGCCCCCCCACAACAGCGGCCACATCAGCCAGGTGCCCGGGATCAAGAAAGGTAACACAGGAGTTCTGATTACAACAGGTTTTACCTTTTATTATCTTAATGTTGTTTGTCTGTATTTTATTTGACTGCAGAGAGTTAGCGTTTCAGTTGCTGTTTTTTTAATGTCCAGGTGATACTCACCTCCTCCTCCATGTTTCTTCTTCTTCACTGTGACGACACCGCAGTCATGACTCAGTCTGCATACGTGCTCCTCATGGTTTCATTTAATGCGTCGATCTCTAAGTTCACGAGCTTTAAAGCTCAAGTGTGAGAGCAACATTTACACTACAGAGAGGATGAGATGTATTGAAAATAATTTCATTAATTAATTAAATAACAAACAAATCAATCAGTAAAAAAATCATCAATCAGCACAAACAGCAACGATAAAAATCATTAAAATAACAACGATAACTCAGAATAATAATTACGTAAACAAAACAACAACATTTGTGTTGAAGTAGTTTGAAGTAGAGTGAGCTCGGGATGTTTTAAGCAAAACGAGCCCTCAAACACAAAAATGTCAAAGTAAGGCAGTGGTAAAAATAATTGAATATTACTTTGTGAATGTGCATTCACTCGGCTGAAAGTCATAATTTCACTAATTTTGTAAACTGAGTTCAGTTTATAAAGAGGAAATATGAACTGTGCTCCTATGATCAGCTTCATCTGAGACAGAGACTTTTATTTAGAATATAAAGTAAAACATGAACTGGTGATGAAACTGTCTGCTGAGGAGATATACTACTACTATTAATAACATGTGAGTTAGTCGTAGTCCTGATGTCGTCAGCTGAACAGACTCTAAATAACTCTGATTCATGAAGGAAACAGGTCACGTGATGTTTCCGAGATCGATATTTCACGTTTCCTCGACCACGTAAGAAGAAGTTAGCGTGTTAACATGTTTGAAATAGATTTCACAATAAGAGCCACATTTCTATTATTCATCCTGCAACATGTGGACACTCACTCATCACCACAAACAGGAACCATCCACACTACCTCTTTTCTGCACCGCCGATTTTGTCAGGCGTACCTCAGGGAGCGTCTATGTGATTTCTAAATTACATAAACGTGTAGGTATAGGCTGATGTAACAGGAGCAGCATGTTCTTTTTTTTTTGTTATATGTTTGGTTTCACATCGACGGCTCAGACCATCACAGTCTGAAGATTAAACATGTTAAAAAACTTTCTAAGTAAATGAAGCTTCAACTTGGAATCTCTGGTTTCCGTTTGAGTTTTATTCAGTAATATAGATATCTCTGAAACATACTTCTTAATATTTTCCTTGTTATGCTGACATGAAACTGCTCCTGTCTGTGTATTTTATTCAAAGACAGGTTGAAATAGATTTTTTTATGGTCTGTGCTTCATCTTTTTGAAGTAACAATACATAAAGTATGATAGAGAAATTTATCTTTACAAATAAAATCTTGATGTTTATAAAACAGAACGGAGATTCAGGAGATTTATATATACCTGATGTAAATCAGCAGCTCTCTAATATTAACACCCTAGAGCTCTGGACAGAACTGTTTTCTGACCATTGCCGCCCGCTCCAAGACAAATTCTGACAACGCATGTTAAATATTCAGAATGACAAACACTGCAGTCATAAAGAGGTGGAATTGTTTTCCTGATCACAGGAAAGTTAGAGCTCGTCATCTGTTTAAATACTGTGGTGCAGTTACCGCCAACTCTCAGCAGACAGTCATTTTTTCCCTCTAACTGTGTGAGGCTGTTAGTACTGTTTTTTGTTAATTAGATTATTTTTGGAATGAGGCTGATTAACAGAAAGGGGCAAATTTTTCCCCGATTGACTGCGTAATGGCTCTTTAAATACACACAAAACAACACTGATGCACAGAGACGCTGTTTGCTCTTCAGCGCAGTTAGGGGAACATTTTACCCTTTGTGTGTTTTGTGAATTAGACGGTGTCTTTTTTGTCTCAGATGCATAATTCTGCAGCACAGCCGACAGACACTTTATGTTCAAACATATAAGCAAAGTACTTGCTCCTATAATTGACAAAGTCAAGAAGAACCCTGATTTGTCACAGGGAGTGTCTCCACAGAAAAAGTGTGACACACTTATCTCTAGTGTTTTATTTAATACGAGTGCTTTATCGTTGAAGGAGAGTTTATTTTGATCTTGTAAAACAGAGCAGGTTTGTTGTCATATAACAGGCGAGCCAGATTTGTGTCCATTGTGTATGAGAACTGTTTTCATAAGTCCAGTTCTCTTACATCGCTGTCAGTTCATTTGAAAATGAGAAATGTCAGACTTAGCTGGCTTTGTCTCCGTGTTGTACAAACCAACTTTAATCTTCTTTTCCACTTCATTTGTTAATTCCATCATTGCAAACATTAGCTGTCAGGGACTCACAGTGATTTTATTGACCACCCACATCAATGCTAACACCGCCCACTACCAAAGATTTGTGTTGGGTCCCTCAGGATCAGCCTGTTAACACACAAGCAGAAATACAGTATATACAAATAGCTATAATCTACCGGTAGATCTCTTGGTGATGAATATTTACTCTTTTTACAGTTTCCTCATTATCAGACGGTTTTCTCCCCCTCTCTCCCCCCTCCCCTCAGAGGAGTCCATGATGTCTAGCTGTCTGCCCGGCCGGGTTCCCCTCCCCCTGTCCCCTGACAGACACAGAGCAGCCCATGCAGCAGCTCAGGCAGCGGCGGCAGTGCAAGTGGCGGCTCTGGAGCAGCTAAGGGAGAAGCTGGAGGGCGGAGAACCACCACAGAAGAAGAAGATGATGATGGAGGAACAGCAGAGGATGATGCACCACGCTCTGCAGCACAACCTGCTGGCCATGAGATCCACCCTTCCACTCAACATCACACTGCACAACACAGGTAATAAACACACACACACACACAGGTTAGTAACGCACACATAGGTCAGACACACACACACAGGGATGGGGGGTGTTACAGTGTTTATCAATGACCGGAACCAACACTTTCACACATGCAGCTTGATGACGTTCATTTCCTGTGACCAGTGAGCCAGTGGTGTGATCTTCATGCACGTAATGAAGCTGCTTCATTTTCTTTTCTTTTTACACTCCTTGTTGCTGGTGTGAATACTTCGAATTACGTATATCATTGATATAAAAAGCTGTCATTAAATTGTTGGACTCTCTCGCTTTGCTCGCCATCTTGGATATCTCATAAATGTTGCGTCGTACCCCCACCCCCCTTTTCTAGAAATTTTCAAAACATGTTTTTAACAGTGTAAGATGCCTTTATTTTACTTTATTATATCTGTGTTATTAGTACCATTGGACTTCTCACACAATAATAATGATACATATTATTTCTGATGCACTTTCAAACTAAGTATGAGTGCTACAGAGAAACAAGAGAATAAAACAACTAGAGAAAAAGTATGAGGCTTGCCTCACACACGCTATTGTAAAAAGAACACTCTTCCTCCGATCGGTACAAATTAAAAGTCCTCTCTGTTTTCAGACTGAATCAAACATTTTCAGAAACTACTGAACTGAACTTACTCAGTTAGTTATGCACCAAAATGAAGCATCTGCCACCAAGTGGCACTTCTATGTCACTGCAAATTACAGTTAGGCTTGTAACATTAATTTGACATGTATGATTAAACTGTTGAAGTTTGTAAATTAAAGGGACGTAAGTGTACTTTAATGTTTTTAGTAAGCATGCACATAATATAAAATAACAGGAAGTTTGTTGACCACTGTTTTAATGCAGGCTTTAAAAAGAGGAAGTACACGTAGCTGTAATAAGTAATCACTAAACACTTTACAGCACAGGCACAAGCACATCATGAGCACACAACAGACACACAACACTCTGTGTGAATACTGTTTTCATTACATACTGACATCGAACAGTCGAGTCCTTCATGTTTTTTTTTCTTTTCATGAGATTTGTTAGGCTATCAAATAAAACCAGAATCCGCTGATCATTTTAAATCACTGAATGTTTTTACCATAACATGTAAATTGAATATAACAGCATGGTGAGTGTGATGTCTGTCTGTTATAAGACTTTAATGTGTGTGTGTGTGTGTGTGTGTGTGTGTGTGTGTGTGTGTGTGTGTGTGTGTGGAATTACTAATAGTCACATAGTTTATCATATCATTGGTGTCATTTAAAGCTCACAGATGTTATGAAGCACACCGCAGCCTGTCATGAGTAAAAATGTGTGTGTAAGTGTGTGTGTGTGTCTGGAGTGTGTGTGTGTGTGTGTGTGTGTGTGTGTGTGTGTGTGTGTGTGTGTGTGTGTGTGTGTGTGTGTGTGTGTGTGTGTGTGTCGGTGTCGGTGTTGGTGTCGGTGTCTGGAGTGTGTGTGTTTGTGTCTGTGTCTGGACTGTGTGTGTGTGTGTGTGTGTGTGTGTGTGTGTGTGTGTGTGAAGGCGAGGTGGTGACAGATCATCAGTCACATGACCCTTAATGATGGAGGCTAAAGAAGAGAGAGAGGCCTCTGAGCTGATGTGATATCATTCTGTCTGCATCACTGCCGCTCAGATTAGTCCTAATCACAGCTCACCTGACATCTGATGGAGACACACACACACACACACACACACACACACACACACACACACACACACACACAGGAGATGACTGTTTTGTGCACCTCTCTGCACCCCTGTAATCATCCTCTCATCATACTGAATAAACGTCATATTTGAATCAGAGCTCAGTGGTTATGATAAGGCAGAGCAGAGGGAGCCGATCAGCAGTCCTCTGATATCCAGAAAAGCACATATTTTATTTAACAGCTGATTATTGAAAACTTAAATCCTGAAGGTTTATCAAAAGGAAAGAGGATGAGGTTAAAAAATTTTTAAGGCATTTTGACTTTATTGAAGCCTTTCGGATCAGAAGCTAGACGTCTTCATGAACCTGTATTTACCAGAATGATGTCAAACGGTGCACCAAGATGTCTTTGATGACAGTTTACGACTTTATTTTAATTCGTAATTGAATGTATTCTCAGCAGAGGGGGGCAAAGTACTGTTAACAAAGACGTTAACTTGATAGCAGCTCATCAGTTAATTCTGTTAATAAAGACCTGAACTCTTTAACCGGTGTTACGGTTTATAGAGTGGCCGTGTTAGCTGCCCACTTTCAGCAAAATGTGCTTGTGATTGTCGTAGTTACAGACATATTTGGTATTTTTGACATTATAATATACAAAATTAACAAAGCAGCACACTTTCCATCTCTGTTGTAACCACGATACAGAGTCGCCAGTTAATATGGTCAATTTTTAAACTGTAACACCCGTATTATAAAATAAACAACAAAAACATCAGCTTTTTTAAATGTCAACAGATTAGAGATCTTAAGAGGCTATAATGACTTTATAGTATGATATAATTACACACGTCTGTATTATAAATCAAAAAATTATAGAAACTTTTCTGATCTGTCACCACTGTCTTCACTTCAGTGGCGCCTCGGACGTACTTTCATGTAGGTCAAGAAGCATTTCACAATAAAAGTGCCCCAGGCAAAGAAAGGCATTTTGGCTCTGTTATATGATAAGCTCTCGAGAGTACAGAAGGTGCTTTGCTCTTGCTCAGGTTGACTGTGATCCACATGTGAATGCAGGGTTTGGACATTAACAGAAACTGAATTTACTGGAAGTTAAAGGTTTCGATTCTAATTTTTCAAATTAACCTCCTTGTTAAAAATACATTAAAAAAAATGAACGTTGTTATCTGATGATTCACAGATTAATGGACGTGTGCTCAGCTCTGAGTCACAGTATAAACAAGAGCGGAGAAGAACATGCTGGTGACCAGGAATGAAGCAGTTTCATTAAGTCCACAAAGATCACACCAGTCATTCGACATACACTTTCCTGAATATTTTTCCTGCTGCAGTCACACATCTACTCACCCTAACTTTTTGTGGAAATTTTACAAGGAGGCTGTCAAGAAAAGTACTTGATAAAGACGGGTGAAAAAGTCATCCATTAGTGCTCACACATGCAAAAAATTCCAGCACATTTTCAGGAGTTTTGTATTTGTGTGAATACAGGAATACACAGAGTGGTTGTTTTCTCTGAGACAGTGTGCGTGTGCGTGTGTGCGTGTGTGCGTGCGTGTGTGCGTGCGTGCGTGCGTGCGTGTGTGCATGCATGATGTCTTAACCATCACTTTTATTCACTCTGGTTCTCCAGCTGTGCAGTATTCATTTTAAAGTGACCTGTCTGTATTTGTGATTTTCTGTATCTGTGTGTGTGTCTATCTAAGTGTTTGTGTGTGTGTGTGTGTGTGTGTGTGTGTGTGTGTGTGTGTGTGTGTGTGTGTGTGTGTGTGTGTGTGTGTGTGTTTGACAGCTCTTTGTCCTGCTGCTGTCACTCCTCAGACTCTCACCGATCGTGCTCGTTGTGTTCCTGCTCTAAATGCTCATATCGAGTTTTCCTCTCTGCTCCTCTCCTGACAGATGATAGACAAGAGGCCGCATTGAACCTGTCTACCAGCGGCATTAGCAGCATCAACATGTCAATAGAAATAAATGGAGTTGTCTACACAGGTAAATAGAGGGGCCGTTTGCTGATGTAATTGCAGGCAGGAAATTCAATAAGTTATAGCAGCACCCTGGTGCTTAGTCCTCCTCACAATTTGATGTCTTTGCTATAAAATCCATCGTAATGAAGTGGCAGTCCAATAGAGTTAAAAAAGTTAAATATCTCAGAATTGGGCCTGTGGAGCTCAGGTCGATGAGGCTTATTGTCTTATATGTGTGTGTGTACATGTGTGTGTGGAGGTAATTACTGCCTCTGCTTTAACACAGACCTTTATGTCAGGGTGTAAGCCGGCTGACCATCACTTCACATCACAGCCTGTCTGACATCCTCCTGATACACACTCATTTCATACGTCTCATATATCATAAGTATATATAAAGAGCTGAGGAGGACTATTTATTATCATTACACTTAAATAAAAAATCTTACTCTTTATGGAAGGGGTTTAACTCATCAATAATAGTTGTATTTGGTTTCATTTTATCGTCTTTTTAACTACATTATTTTGTTTCTTTTGATGCAGAAACAGAAGATTTTGTCTCATTAAAAATATAGAAATGAGTCATAATCATTTTACGCTAAATAATAATGAATTAATAACAATTGCAGGGATTTTAAGGCTGTACAATGTGCACAGTATGAACACAAAGAGAAGATGCACAGACTGATGACTGATTGTAAAACACACAGAATAATGATTTGATTAAATAGATCAGTCCATCTATATTTGTACAGCGGATATTCAGCGGTTCTCAAACCTTTTCTCATGCTCTCCATTGTTTGTGATTTTGGAGTGGCACGTAGGGCAGCCAATCAAGGGGGGCCTAATACATGTCCCTGGCCACGCCCCTGCCTGTGACACCCTGGTCCATGACACGGGGCCGTCCCCTACAGTTTGAGAACCACTTAAGTAAATCAGGCATAAGGTGTAATTTTACTATATATTTGTGTGGGACAAAAAACTGTAGTTTTTAATTTTAATTGGATTAAATGAAAGTTCTTCATCTTAAAATCACTGAGACAAATAAATATTTTACCAGACATTATTATATCTTCCAACACACTCCTGCATAAAGCAGCAGCTAAACGAACGGTCTAAAGGTTTTTAAGTGTGTTAATACAGCAGTAAGACAATAAATGAGACAGAGTTCAAATATGTTAATTTCATTGTAACTTTCATGTATGAAAAGTGAGTGTAAAAAAAAACACAGGCATTCTTTACATACAGAACCAAAAAGCTGCACTTCATCTCAGATCTGATCTGCTCAGCGTTTACACTGAGTCTGACTGTGACCTTTGACATCCTCAGGTGTGCTGTTCTCAGGTGAGTCGCTGATGACGGGACACCGCGGGAGACACAGCAGCTGTCACACTCAGGGAAAGAGCAGTCCCTCTCACTTCCAGCCCTCCTCCTCCGCCTCTTCATCCTCCTCCTCCTCCTCGCTCCACAGAAACTCCTCCCCCTGAGCCTCCCGCCCCTCTCCCTCTCCCTCACTTCACACTTACACACACACACCCATACACACACACGATCTGTGTTTGAGTGTGTGTGTTAATATTGTCTTTACCTCCTAACACATGTCTGTTAACCCTCGTTCACATAGTAATGTCATGTGGAGTGTGAATGGAGAGTCCCTCTGTGTTTGATCCAGAGAGCAGTCAGCTGGTCCTCCAGCAGGCTCTGAGCTCACACACACAGCCGACACCAAAGAAGAAGAATCCATGCTGGTTTAAACTTTAAACATGAGCACACAGCTTCAGCATCAAACATGAACATGTGAGCTCAATCCAAAGAGACAAAACACATCCGGAGGAATCATCTGTGAGAAGCTGTGCAAGTGTTCAGTGTCATCAAAGACTTTATACTGAAGCATCAGATGCTCCTTCTGTCCATTATGAGTTCATATGCAGTCTTATATGTGCTTTATTTCTCTCAAACACAGTCAGCTCACGCAGCTCTAATAAACAAACCCTGTCCTCATCACACAGTTTAAACCAAGACTTTACAAAACTGTTTAAGACTCGTAGCCTCCTCAGCTCAAAGCTGTATTCAGACCAAATAAATACAAAACTAATGCATTGATAGCATGTTCTACAGCGATATAAACTCAAAATACCCAGTTTCTACTGTGATTTAATGACATAAACAGGATGAAGGGATGCTGAAATAACTACATCATGCTGCTGAATTGTAAAAAAGTATCAATTCAGGATTTGTCAGGTCTGACGACAAGAAAACAAGTTTAAAATATTTGTTTTTTGAATGGAGTTTGGTTTGAATATTTCTGATACATCGGGACGTCTCATTTTGCATGACCCACCTCTCTGCTTATCTTTGCATAGAAACTGTGTGTAAATCTCAATGTGTAAAGAATCTTCTTTACGTTTGGTCTGAACACAGCTCAACATCTGTCCACAGGTATGAGCAGAGTTAGAAACTGAAGTTTCGTCACAATAACTCCATGATAGCAGAGCTTCACCCTGAGGGTGATGTTGATGTCCTGTGTGTCACACAACCCACGATGGTGAAGACACGAGTTACAATTTCTCTTTAAAGCAACAATATGTAGAAATTTCATCCGCTTCATCTGTCCCCATCCTCTTCTGTCTCCAAGCCTCAGCCGTTGTATCAAACAGTACTGAGACGGGCTAACTGGCTGCTTTGTAGCTAAAGGCTGCAGTGTTAACTAGTGCTGTAAAGCCGTACACACTTCTAGCCAGAGGACAGCGGCCCGATGCCAAAGTTACATAGTGCTGAAAACGAGCAACTGGGGCGCTCTGTGGTCATGGTAGGGACGCCACTCACCCTGTTGACATGATTGTTCTATATGAGATCGACTATTGAAACCACTAATTATAGGTTGGAAGGTTACAGATTGTTGCTTTAAAACCAACATAAAGTTACCCATATCTTCACAGATTTACATGTTATCGAAACTAATGACAGACACAAAGAAGATGACTGTGTTCATAAAACTTTCATGTGATGTTACTCCCAAAGAAAAGCTTTAAGTATTTAATACAACGTAAAAATTTAACGTTTGATTTGTAGTGTAAGGAGGAAGGGCTCAGCTTCTCCCTCTGTATCAGTGATTAAATAATCACACACACACACACACACACACACACACACACACACACACACACACACACATACACACAGTATTTTAACCTTGATAATAATGATTAAACAGTCCTGCTGTGAAGGTGTCAGAATGGCAGGTAGTGAAGGGTTAAACTGATGTGGTGATGGCGTGCTGCGTTCCCAGGCTTTCCTCCTTTATTACAGTAAATATTGCAATCAACAGGATTGCTACACTGGTTGCTGTGGTTGAAACATTTACACAATCCTTTCTGAGGCTGCAGCAGGCAACACTCATCTTCTGCAAATGTTGAAACTTTAATCTGAACCACCAACGGAGATGTCTGAGAGAACAATGAGCACACACACACACACACACACACACACACACACACACACACACACACACACACACACACACACACAGTCTGCAGGAAATCACACACACTGTAGTTTATATCATGAACAGAATCAGGTTGTTGTTTTTTTGATGCACTTATGTCTACCATGAGAGCTCCTGTTTCTTTTCCCTCTTTCTCTGTTTTAAGATTTTACTTTATTGTGATTTTATTTTATTTTGTCTCTGAACTGTTGAATTGCAGATTTTATTTAAAATATTTGATATGTGATCCTGCTAACATTGCATTCAGCTCCAACAATGTGTGCAGATACCTCAGCAGTCTGTCTGTAGATAGTCATAGTATGAAAACAAATATACCTCATGAAGTTCTTTTTTATTATTATTGTACAGCCATTTAAAAAACTGTTTCCTCCAACAGTTCACTGGATTTTGTTTTTTGTTTTTCATATTTTGTATGATTCTACCAAAGAAGGGAATATTTTCTTGACATATCTACCTCATTTGTTATAGACTGTGCCAACAAGCATGTCCACCACCTTAATGTCACTGTATTCATGCTGTTTCATATCCAGGTGTTTGTGTGAACTCAGAATGCATCACAGAGAATCTGTAGATTATTATAGAAACTTTGAATCATGTTCAAAGTGCTTCATGTTCGGTGTTGTGATGGCACGACAGAGCTGCCATCAGAGAGACTCAGAGAGAGAGAGAGAGAGAGAGAGAGAGAGAGAGAGAGAGAGAGAGATATGAAAACATGGAAAAAAACATGGACACAAAGAGGAGACAGCAGCATGAGACAATGAACCAATCACAGCACACTGGTCTAAGAGGGGCACTGCAGGCTGTCCATAATTCATTGTTTCTGGATGTGATAGAAAGACGTGAACGTCCGTATGTCAAATAGTTCCAGTTTTACACGTCGTGACATCCTGCATTTGAACAGCAAGTCACTTTAATCAGAAACTGAACAAAACAAATTTTGAGCTGAAAATCAGCCATGTTAACACAAACCCAACAAGAGCTGCAAAGTTTTTGTACCGTTTTGTGCAGAAAATGTTCAAGAAGGCAAATTTGTTTTTAGCAAAAACGGTTAACGCATGAGAAACTGAGAGTTTAAAGAAAAGGGGTTTTCTGAGAGCGGCAGGATTTTTTTTCTGCAGCTTCCAGCTTTGTAAACACTGATAAACTGCAGAGCAGAACAGCATCATGCTGTCAGCAGGTGTTCATGGTCCCCTGAAGGGGAATCTCAAAGGTTTGAATTACTCCCTGACTTTAACCTGAGAAACATGAACAGTCACGATCCTCAGAGGATTAATCACTGAGCGAACATTTAGTGCTCTTCTTCAGTCATATTGTGTTTCTGCTGTCTCCTCTGTGTTCAGGACTTTTCATGCAGATTGTTCATGTACTTTGGGTTTAATGATGATCGTTCAGCTAGGTGTCATGGCGACAGTGCACCTGACCAGGTCAATTACCTGTGATAATAATCATAATATATTGTGTGACTGTGTGCGTAGATGGTGATGTTTTGTACAAACACAATCGTGCAGCAGAGGACAATCCTCGGCCAATGAGATGAGCTATTGGAAGTGGTTGTGCTTTCTGATTGGTGTGTTTACTTGAAATGTGTTTTTTTTTGGTGATCAGAAAGTCTGCAGGTTGAGACGAGATCAATGAATCAGATCGATATAAACAGACAGCCGAATCCGACACATCTGACCAATCATCTTTATCCACATCATCATCTGCTCAGACCACACATCACTTCAACATCCCGCACAGCAACACGTCCGACACTGGCAGAGATGTGAAGAGGGATTTATTTATTTTATTAACAAAAAGAAGTCGCTGTAGACGACGTCAGAGACTCTCAGTTTGAACTCTTCACTGATTTTATGACAATATGGTTAATTAGAAAATCTTGTGATGACATGAAAACTGAGGCTGAGGTGTCAACTACAACTCCCATAATGCTTTTCCAACAGAAACCTCAGATAAGAGGGGCTGACAGACATCTGAAAGCATTCGGAGAAGAGAAAAAAACCAGAATCTTAACAAAAAAGTGAAAAGAAAAAGTGATCTGAACTCTGTTACAGTATTTCATGTTTGTTCATTCAAACCAGGAGCTTTATTTAACATGAATCAGAAACAAGAAGGAGTTAAACATGTCCGCCATGGTTTTTTTTAACCAGGACACTGTTTGTTCCATAAGTTTATTTCTCTAATAAAGGTTATGGAAGGTGATGACAAAAAAAATATGACATCAGGGCTAAAATGGAAAATAAACCTCCATGATGTTGGTGATGATAAAAGAGTTGAGTTGAATCGACACATCTTGCTGGTTTTCTCTGAAAAGCACTAACAATGAAAAGAGAGTAGACATGATGCAGGTGAATCCTGTGTTTTATGAGGACATTAATAGAGATCATTACAGACAAACAGAAGTAGCTGGTTCTCCCTCTTCACAGCGCTGAGGTTTCATGTGACCAGTCTAGCCAAACATCTTTGATCTATATATCTATATATCTATAGATATATAGATATATAGATATATGTTTAATATGTTTAATGTTTAATATATGTTTAAACACCTGATCCAGGACCATCAGAGCGTGAGACACCTGGATCAGTAACCCCTCAGTCACTCAGATGTTCAAACTGAAAATACAAACAGATGCAGAGGTGTGCATGTTATTATGACTTTAAAGTGAAATAAGAGTCTGGCTGTGTGTGAAGAATCAGAACACGAGTTCTGTCAGCAGAGATAAAGAGACAGGAGCTATAAAGCAAATAATGAGATTATATTTCTGATTCAATTACAGTACTGACTGTAAGATCAGAGACCTGTCTTTACCTGTGAATCAGGTGTTATCATGTTTCTTAACATGATTTCACCTGAACACACACCCAGCTGAGTTTGTATTTAAAACAAATTTTACAATCTGAGCGACAGAATTGTACCGGATCGTCCGTTTGTGATGATCCTGGATCATTAACCTGCGAGAGATTTTAAAATGATTACAG